GTTTTGACTCCGTCTTTCCGCATTATCACTATTCTGCGAACCCCGTTTTAATTTGTAAGAATACCTCTCTTCAAATTTAGCTAAGATTTCTAAAAGTTGTACCGTGTTCTGTGGATTTCGGACCTCCACATAGTCCTGGACTTGTGGTTCGAGTCTAACAAAAATGTGATCAACCAAATCCGCCTGCGACATCTTTAGTTCTAAACTCTTATGTATTTTGAGCAAATCGTAAACAAAATCTGTTGGTTCCTGATTTCTTCCCTGCTGGGACGCGAAAAACCTCGCTTTTAACTCTTTCTTATTTTTTACGGCGGGGAAGCTTTCGCTAATTCTGCTTTTAGCTGCGCGAAATCCATGGCGGTATCCTGCACTAACACTGATCCGAATATTTGATACCAATCTTGAGCCCTTCCCCGGAGATGATCTTTCAAATAAGCACATGCTAAATCACTAGGTATTTCTAGTAATTTTTATTTGATTGTCTATGGCCTCGAGAAATTCAGTCACGTTCTCGGACCCGGAAAAGCACATTTCTGGTAAAATACCAAACCCGCTTGCATTACCTAACCCAGAGTCACATAAATTATAACGGTTCGGGCGCCAATGTGATATGGTCGATCTTTGTCGACCATATCGTGGGGTTTCAGCGTAAGTTAGAGGTGTGGGAGTCTCGAAATGAAGAGACATTTTAGAATTCTTAATATGACTTTTATTAAGAGTTTAAATTACTTATGTATCGAACAAACTTATATTAAGTGAGAATAAACCAAAACACGTAGCCGTAGTTAACACACATCGCGCAATTGGACCACTTATCTAAATAGTTATATTATCCGCCTACTCTCAATCCTAATAATTTTTCGAATTCGGAAATTAATCTTCCTACCTTGAATTTTCAAGCAACGGTCCAATCAACTTTAGATATTCAGCTATGCTCGAGTGCAATGTTATGCACCTTGTAGTAAATGGCGAAATGTCCGTGATTCTTGGGTAGGCCGTCAAATTACGCTTCTACCTTTTCTACACTGAACTTTCTCTAAATTGCCATCATGCTTACTAAAACTTCTGTCCTTTTAAAGATTATCTTATTTGCATCTATCTTTCGTTTCACTTCTTGGATTTGGGTAGGAAAAGATTTGCCATTAATCTTGGCCGTCAAAGAACACAGAGGTTATGTTAGAGACAGGACGCGTGAGCCGTCACACTTTGGCCCAGCTTTCCTTGCTAAAGATTTTTAGAATGATTTTAATCTTGTTACGCCTAAGAAGTATTTCTTACGTGCGTACATAAGTACACACACACTTTTTTTTGTACTTCTCTCTTTTTTTTTTTAATGTCACTTTTATACCTGCGGGGTACTGCGAGCACCTGAAAATTTCAATCTTACTTTTTGTGTTAAAAGTACGCATTATACGCCGGATTTTATGGCATATAAATTTCACAGGTGATTCCTAATATATCAACGATAAAATTACTTCGATCAAAACTTTCCAAAACACCTTCGGCTCCTTTTTCAGGAAAAAAATAAGACAATAAATCGACTCGCTTCCAAAGATTTCTTCACAAAGAATGTACGGCATTTTTTTTTCCAAAATTAAATAAAAAAAAAAAAAACATTAGCATAGACAACTCTTGCAAAGCTTAAAGCTTCTGTTACAACAGTCAAAAAAGGAACTCAGGAAGGAGGAATTACGAGAAAGGTGGGGAAGCCAGTCTTTTTCCCCACCTTTCTCGTAATTCCCCTCCCACTTGAATCCCTTTTTCATACACAATCTATATAAGAAAACACACAAAAAGAGAAAGCCAAAACTTCCACGTAAGAACCACCTAGCTGTAAGAAAGTCAAAAGATCAACCTATCCCCATACAATTACCAAACCGAACAATTCCCCCCCCCCATCACATTAAAAATAAAATAAAATAAACATTCTTGACGAAAGGAAAATGCCTTCCCGTCTGGAAATTTACAGACATGAGCGATTCATTGAAGCAGAACACCTCATTCGTGAACAATCAGAGAATCTTTTTAAATTGAAATGTCTGAGAGAATATTCAAAAGAAGAGCAGCGGGCATCTCGGGATTTCAAGGTATAAAGACAAAAAGGAAAAAAGATGCAGTTTAAAAAATTCGTAAGATATACTATCTTAGGACAAATTCTATCACAACATCATGAAATAAATGTTAAATATATCCAGAAGAATAAACCCAGTGCTTTATTTAGGTTTTTCATATCATACTTTCAAAAACATCAATGTTTTTTAAAACTGGAACATTCAAATACTAATGGCGAAAAGAAAAATCCCAGCATCTCAGTAAAAATCATCTAAAATCAAATACACCATCTCCTGCGTATTACGCACACTGCCGTATAATGCGCACCTATACTTTAGAGCTCCAATTTTTACTTTTTAGATATATTCGTCGTATACCCCCCCCCCCCCCATTTGGCTACCTTTTTTTTTTACGAAGAAATTTTATTATATCTACGTGCGCAATGCTCTTACGTTTTGATGTCATTTATTCGAGTATTATTCCAAGCTTTAGAAAAATTTGTAAACTTCTAGAACTACAACCCTTTAAATTCATCAAGAATGTGTCATTTCATTTAAATTAACACTATTTCGATATATGTAGTCTTATTTTTTTTCCATGTTCAACTTTTTTTATTTTTTAAGCTCTCGTTTTTATACCCAGAGTATAACGCGTACCCGTAAATTTCAATCATATTTTTTATCTTAAATATGCGCGTTATACGCCGGATTTTACGGTGCTTTTTATTAAATAGTTGCAATTAATATAAATATGTATATACATATGACAGAATCACAAAATTAAGTGACAAAATAGAAAGCGATTTTCCATTTTCCTTTCTATATATGGTGTTGGACATTTTTTGTGTATTTTTTGTTTGATACTATTTATTCATTAATTAAATTTAATTATTCTAATAAAATAGTATAGTAAAGAAATCACATTCTAAGAAATTAGGCCTTCCCAGAAGGGATTCGATCCCACGAACTTTGGATGAGAAGTCCAACGTGCTCTCTCTATCCATTGCAATAGAGAAAACACAACGTAGGGTTTCCTTTCTATATATGCTGTTGGACTATTATTTTTTTTGTTACTATTTTTATTCATTTTTTAATTTAATTAATGAGTTAATAGTTGAAAAAAAACTGTATTAACATCCAGTGTCATCCATTACAAGTTTAAGAAAATGTATTTGAACTTGAATGAATGGAAAGTAAAGTATTTTATTAGCGATTGAACAAGATATATATAGGGTATAGTAGTAGGAAATGAATAACAAAGCACGTATTCCACACTACATTTTCAAAATGAAATAATTGCTATTTTAGCCGAATATATTCGTAATGAGATAACACGCATTGTCAAAAAAGCAAAATATTACACTAGAATTCTTGGTTCTACACCAGATTTTAGTCACATAGAAAAAAAAAAGGTTTGTTATTAGATATGTGGGCACTACTGATGGTTAAGGTGTATATACATATATATATATATTTTAGAATTTTTTCTAGGAGTTTTTTCAAGAATACTACACAAGAAAGGCTTTCAGATATGGAAGCATTCTCTATTGAATCTGACATCTCTGAAAAAATTGATTTCCCCAAAATTATTGACAAATTTGCTTCTCAGAAAGCCAGAAAAATTATTTTATAATGAACTATTAAGTAGTCTTTGTAGAAGGACTGAGAGAGAGAGATTTATATACTTTTCATTTCTCGAGATTTATGCTTAAGGCTTGGGTGTTGTCCTCGTCACTTGACCATGGTACAAAATTACGAGGTCCGTCACCTAAAGCCCTTGAGTAGATGAATAGTGCTACATAAATATTCACTCCCTCGCCACTGAAGTTCAATAGTATACAGAGGAAAATGCACATTAAATCCTTTGAGGTTTGATGTTCTCCTGTTGACGTAGTGTAGAAATTTGGCAAGTGGTGCCAGCTCGGGCTTCATCCTCGTCACTTGAGTGTTTCAAAATTACAGTAGCCCTCGTGTTGCTTCAAACTGTGACACTTAATTGGCATACTCTGAATTGATTTTCTTCAACAGTTTTGAATGTTATTTTTTGGCATATTCTAAAAATGCAATTTTCTTTTTGGAATTTCCGACAGATTCAGGTTTTAATAAAATGATTTACATGTAAGTAAATAAAGTGGAATTCGTAAAAGTTCTCCTCCTAAGAATATCATATATGAGCAGGAATGGGCATTAAGTTGATCTCGATCGACCGGTGGACCACCAAGACATTTGGGGATGACCGCCTGAAGATTAGTAGTTACTAATTACATACCAAAATATTCGAGATTGCAGACTAAGTCTTCTACGGACTATAACTACGAGACAGGGGCATAGCCGTATCAATGATACGGGGCCCCAAAACGTGTAAGCAAAAAATTGCAAAATTTTAAGGGGCTCCTAGAAAGCCCTCCCCCCACCCCAAAGAACAGGGATACAGGGCCCACTCAAGACTAGCTACGCCAGTGCTACGAGAACTAACTTTAGGGGGAAATCTTTTTTATTTATTAATATATTTTAAATTGTTTGATAATAAGTGCATCATTTGGTATTATTATATTTGTGGCTATTATATTATTATGTTTATATCTTGCGGTTTGCTTTATACGGGGTCTTAAAAGTATGAGTTTTTTTATTGTACTTATGTAGGTACGTGCTTATTCTGTATTTATAAAGTTATAATAAATGTTGTAGATCTTTTTCAATTCCCCTACCATTAGTTTACACTCTCCCTATATATATAAATATCTTGTTCAGTTTTTCAGTCGTTAATAAAATACCTTTTATTCATCCACTCAAGCTCAAACACCTTTTTTTAGACTTGTAGTGGATGACACTTGATGTTAATACAGTTTTTTCAAATATTAATTCATTTTTTATTTAATTAACGAATAAATAATAGCAAACAAAAATAATAGTCCAACACCATATATAAAAAGGGAAATCACTCGCTGCGTCCTTGTAGCGCAATGATAGCGCGTTGGACTTCTAATCCAAAGGTTGTGAGTTCGAATCCCACTTACGATGTTCGAATTTCTGAGAATGTGATTTCTTTGCACTGTACAATTTAATATATATAGGAATAGTTAAATTTCTTTCATGAATAAAAATGGTAAACAAAAATGATAGTCCAACACTATATATAGAAAGGAAAATCTCCTTCAATTTTGCCACTTAATATTGCAATTCTGTCAGATGTATACACATATTTATATTAATTGTAATTATTTAATAAAAAGTAAAATTGTTCTTTGTTGACCTTTGTAGGAATTGATTTGAATTTTTTTTTTATATGTTACTTGTTCTCAGCTCACCACATTTAAGCCACTGAATTGACCGCAACACCCTCAATATATCTTCATCTCTCAATTTTATAGTAGGTTTAAGCTTTTGAATTAGGAATCTTCAAAAAATCAATAAAATACGATTTTTATAATGTACTATGCATTTATTGTATATTATAATGTATTGTATATTCTACACATAATGTCATGTTATTTTTGAAACTTAATCTATATATTGTGAAATAAATAAAGGTAGCGTGAATTGAAATATTTTGTTTATTACGTCACAGCTATCATTTACATTGAAGTTATTAAACTTATTCATTAGGTTCAAGTTCTGTTTGGGAGGGAGGAGTTTTTTGGGGGTCCGCTCTTAACCAAGTTTTCAGACCATCTCTTGTTCTCTCTCTGCCCTTACTAGGGTCTCCGGGGTTCCCCCTTTATCCTCGGGATGCATCCGGTTCGTAGGTAGACCTTGTGGTGTCAAAGATTTCTGGGGTGATCTAAGACAAGACCGCGCAATAATTTAAGGTTGTAGGTGTTCCTTGAATGTGTGGTTCATATCTACAAAGAAGTCGATTCACAGCTGTGTGGTGGGAATCGTTACAACATATTTTACATTTTTAATATAACAAAAAAAAAACATTTTTTAAGAATTTCAATTTAACATTACTTTTAGAAGATATCTGACATCAATTTTTTCACAATGCAAGTATTCAAGATTTAATTAAAAATACTGAGCTGATGTAATTTTAAAATTAACGATAAATCTTGATTGTGGTTAATCTTATCTTTCTGAATCTCGCGGTCTTTCCTTAAAGAAAATAATTGCTCGCATAAATAAGTGCTTTCGAACATAGCCATTTTTTGCATAACAAACTATGAATTTTAGGAAAAGGATCTACTTATAAATAGGAGAATTGTATAAAAATCTAAAATTCCAACTTCCTTAGATTTTTGCTTCAACAAAGAATCCCACTGGATTTCAATTAATTTATTTGTAAGTTTTCATCACCGATTTCAGTATCGATAGACAGAGATAAAATAAAAGTGCGAAATTATAACTCACAGCTCTTAAAGTTAGAATTAATAATTCCGTTTCAAACAATTGAGTTTTGTGAGCGTGTTCAGTAAATTTTAATTTATGATATTTAATCAACAGATAAAGAATAGATAAAGAAAACTTGTCTCACTTTGAAAACTGTCAATAAAATATTGACAGTTTTCAAAGTGAGACAAGTTTTCTTTTTCTATTTATTTTAGCCAAAATAATAATACTTAATATTATCCAATATAGTTGTAACAACACGGTTTTTGCCTTAAAGCTTAATATTAAGTTGATTAAGATGGCTTGTGTAATATCAACTGAGAAAGTCAAGTCTTTTATCCATTGTCCATCTTTTAATTCAGCACATTCATAATATTTTTATTTCTAAGAAAATTATAATTTCGTCCAGCATTTTGAAGAATTATTTTAACACTTTATGATTTGAAAGCTATTAAATTTCCATGTAATATGGTAAATCGTTGAATTCATTCTCGATATCTTCGAGAAATAAAGCTAATTTACGATGATTAAATCTATGTTTTTGATTATAATTTACAATTTGGGTGACAATTTTTAAAACATGTCCTATATTTAAAACTTTGTAGCACAGTACTTTCTGGTGAATAATATAATGAAAATGCTCAAAATTGTTATTGCCGTGCGGTTTGAATGTTTCTTTTAATCTTGCAACAACTAACTCCTTTAGTAATTAATGTAGTTTTCCTTAAATCCTAATTTCCATCGGTCAGTTAGGCGATCATATTCAGTTATTATGATTCCAGTAATTTGTCCAAGTCCATCTTTAGTTAAATTTTGTTTATTAGACGAAACACATAGAAGACATTACACAAATAACATTACGTAAACAGAACCACACCTCTACAAGCCAAAGTATATATACTCTTCGCTGACTTGCAGCGCCATCTATATTACAGAATTTAATTTACAACAGTAATATCGATCATGGTAGGCGCACCATCATGCAAGGCAAACCAACTTTTCTAATGACAACTTAAGTATATTTCTTCAAAACATCTATAAGTACATTGAAAATATCAGCTCTAGATGATGTATTTTGAATATGAATGGTTTCCAAAAGTTCTTCATTTATTTTTAAATTAACATCGCATCCGTAAAAAAAAAGTGACTAGCTGAGCAAAATTTCGAATATTGTACTACTTTCATCAATATTGCTATAAATTAGTCTTGAAATGTTGATATTATTGAATTATGCTGATTTCTCAAATTCTCTGCTATTTCATCAACTCTGTTACCAACAATCTTACGACTTAAACTTACATTTTTAATTTGCTTTATTTGTGCTGGACATAATACTTCCGCGGTTTTAAATAAACATTCACTAATAAATTCCCCTTCAATTTGATGATTTCCATCTGCTTGAAATATTAAATGTAATAATATATAGGAAGAGAAATAAAAGTCGCACACACGAAGAATCGTGTACCATCTATAGTAAAATATATGCATAATGTATATTTCAGAATTTAATAAAAAAGTAATTTATTATAATAAAATCAAATGAAAACGTTTAATAAAATATTTCAAAAAAATGTTTTTAATCTAAAGGCCATTTTTACTATCAAAAAGAATTTCTTTTAAAACAAGAACAGGGGAAAAGGCAAATATATTGTAGATTTATATATAGTACCTGTATATATATGGTCCACCTCAAATAAATTTCAAAATGAAAATACTTTAAAAACCTGATAGTCAAAAAATTTTTAAAAGGAGTTGACGGGCCGCGTGTTTGACACCCCTGTTATAGAGGATAAGAAAGGACTTATTTTCATTTCAAAATCGCGTGTTTAAATCATTAAATTAAATCATTAAAAGGATAATGTTCATTATAACTAAGCTCTAGAAACAGAAATCTAACTGCATCTTTGTCCTGGTTACGTAATGATTATGTAGGAATGCAAGTTTTATATCACTGATAATAGCAGTAGAATGAAGCATTTAGCAATATTTAGAATTAAAAAGTCCATTCGAACAGTTATTTGCTTGTAAATGACAATATCACTTCGTCTTTTGACAATAGATAAACATCGCACTTAGAAGTAAATCGAAGGTTTGGTCGTTAGTCGGAAGTTTGTCGAGAGGGGGTGAAAAGAAAGAGAACAACAGATTTTTTTTATTGCTGTTCCTTGTATAACACACCCAAAAGACAAAATATGCATTCATGGTCAGCAGGGCCTCGAAAGCTGTTCCCCGTTAAAATGAAAAAAAAAAAAAAAATGACTCGAAGTGCCCACCCTTTCAGTCACTAGTTCATTGTTCAGTAGAATTGCTACCCTATGGTGTGCAATTCTTTCCTTAAGTAGTCATTCTAATAACCTGCAGATAAGAAGTTTTAAGTCCTTTCAATCTGCGTATGCCATTGATTATTTTGTGAATCTTTGCAAGATGAGCTGTTGAAAATATTAGAGAAAATATGAGATAAATACCCCAATGGGTTTTTTTAAAGCAAAATTAAGACGGTTGTCTAATTTTTACAAATCTCCTTTATACAACAGATGGCGTTATTTGCAACTCAGATGACATCAATAAAAATAAAGTTTGTGTATATTATCTATTCTCGGTTTCTGTTCATTGTCAGTTCCACGTTTCGATTTAGAGACAAAACAGGATATGTAATAAAACGATTGCAACTCGTGTGGGCGCGCTTTCTTTGGGTTTACATAAGAAATAAAAATGCTAGCTTGGGCGAACACAATGCACAGGCTTTCAAAAAAATCCGTACAATGAAATATTTTCAATAAATTTCTGTAAGTACAAGATTTTATTGATCATTTCAAACATTTATACAGTAATTAAACTTTTTCTATTAAGAATTTTCATTTTTCATGAACTTCGAATTTTAAAAAAAACGGTGACTAAGGCATTTATTTGTATGTTATTTATTTAAAGATTAATACGACTTGAATTTCTATTTAACTTATTTGTTTAACATTAAATGGCAAAATACCCAATGTCTAGTTTGGTGGGTTTAAATTTCTGGCTCTAAGACATATTGTGTCAAACACAAGGCTCTTATCGGAAGATACTACCCTTTTAAGATAAATTATTGAGGAATATTTTATTGTGTATTTGCCTTCATGAAAAAGAGGACTATTAAAATAATATATTTTGTTTTAAAAAAATTTCTTTTGTTAGTATATGAGTATACATTTATGTAATAAATCAATTTACATAACCATAACGATTTTAAATGAAAGAATTATTGAATTAAAAGAAAGCTAGCTAATTTTAATGTCAATGAAATTATTTTGCATATACGTATTCATAGCTGTAGTTAAGAGTACATGGTTTGTAAAATTTCATCTTTGGATTCAATCGAAATAATATTAATTGATTTTTTTTCATAAGACAGCTCCACTTCCAGAACGAGATATGCTTATCCTTCATTACTATTCCCAGTATTAAAAAAATGCGGTTCATTTGTCTTGGTTAGGGTAAATTTTTTTTTCTGAATCATCAATTATAAGAATAATTTTTTCTGAATCATCATGTTTAGTCAAAATGACACATGTATTTTTAGATGGTTTCTCTCTCTCTCTCTCTCTCTCTCTCTCTTTGTATACATCAAGAGAAATTTAGCAATATTATGTTACAATGATAAATATATTCTTGCAAGTAATTGTGTTATTGCTGATCGAAGTATCGAAAAGGCATTC